TCTTTTCTTTGAGCTAGATTTTTCAACTATATAATCCCCAAATCCAACAACTCTTCTATTATTTCTCATATAGTATTGTCATTTTGTGAAAAATATTGGAAAATTGAAATGAAAAATGGAGAAATGATCTCCTTAAAACAAAAAATTGTTCAGATGTTAATAATCTTTTCTGCTATGAAACCTTGTTTCCAATTGTTATTCAGTCTTTAATAAAGATTTTTCCTTTTGGTCTATTTTTTAGCTTTTTTACTTTAAGATTATGTTAAGAACACTTCACATGAATTTGTAAAAAATAAATGATAATGAAGCCTCATTGATGATCTATTTAAAGGTACCAAGACAATATGGCGAATGTCGATCATTGTTAGCATGAATAATTTAATCATGAAGTGTATCAACCTGCTCCGTTCTCCTCATCTTTCCTAATACTTTTCTCTAATCAGAGATTAGAATATTTGTAAACAGATAAAAAATTCTATTCCTGTGAGAAATCCATGTTTTCTAGAGATCTCATAAGTTAAATAACATGTGTTGGAGGGAGCAATTATTTATACAGCATACCACATCCTATTGGAACTAATTATTTGTGTGAATAATAGTACCAATAAATGGAAACACTTGCCTATAAAATATGTTCATGAACTTTATATGTACATAATATAAATGTTTTAACAGTATAGAATTGTTTTTGGATTGATGCTCAATGCTCAGGAGTCAAAGGAGTCAGGAGTCAAATCAAATTCAATAAAAAGATGTTCTGTTTATAATTGTTCATTATTTTTTGCTTTTATGATTTTGGTCCTTCATCAGGCAGTATAAAATATAAAAATAACATAACATATCGTGGAACTTATAACCATTTTAATATAATAAATAATTTGATAACACTATCCAAAGCGTTTATTTCCCTTTTTTAAAACTATGAAACAAGCTAATCTCTTTTATAAAATTAAAATAATGGGGGGAAAAAACCTCTGTGATGGAGCTCTGCTGATTCTGCATTTTTTCATTTTTGTTTTCTATTAGCTTTGGATAATTTTTTCTTTTCAATAAACCAAATAAAATATAAAGCGTTTCCTTTCAAAACAAAAAAAAACTTGTTTTTTATTTTTCATAAGTTTTTAATGCCAGAAATGATGTTTGTTTCAAATTCGTCTAGATCTAAAAACCTCCGTCTAGGTCTTTTATCGAAATAGTCTTAGATGGTTAGAGCCCGAAAATCTTTCTTTACATATTTGCCCTATTTTGAACAGTTTCATAATGTAAATAATTCTATAATTGAACCTAGGAAAAAACAGAGACTTAAAGAATCTTGGAAATGGTCAAAATATCAATGAAAATTTGTGTAGTTCTTAATAAAAGTGATTTGTTTTAAATAAAAACTAATTATGACCTAATTTATAACAGTCCCTCTCTTCTGCTTCTCAGTTCAAGACTAAAAATAAAAATAAAACTATTGACCAGATGAGCATTCCCCATCTTCCTACGTCTTCGTTTGATACTACTAATTTAATGAGGGCGGAATCCTCAAATCCAGTATTATTGACATTCAGGCATAACACATCATTTTTTTTTCAAGTTATTTAAGTAAGTTTTACAGTACCATTTTTATGTGGATAAAAACAATTTTCAACATGGTCCTTGAAAGAATAAACACATATTTTTATTGAATTTATATATAAGTGTTAACTATATAAACACCCCATGTTGGAGGACAGAATTTTCTGTATACGTTAATCGCTAAGCCTTTGAATATCGCTCTAGTCCACAAGGTAATAGGTAGATGCCATATGAATGAAAGGGCCTTTAAATGTATTTTACAAACAGTAAAACAAAGTTCTACTCTCTCCACAACCACAGACTAGTAGTTCAGGTGTGGAACGTGGATTTTTACCCAGGAAGAAAAAGGTCAAAAAATTTTTGAGATTCCTGTAAAAAATATACGGTTTCAAGAGAATAAATGAAAGGTGGTGAATAGCAAAAATAATATGCTTTATTATAATAATATGCTCTATAATAATGACCATATCATAGTCAATGTTCAAAGGTGTCGCCTCAAATGGCCAGAACATTATATACTTATACATTATATCATTGTACCACCAGGAGAGACCTTAAGTGAAGATTATGGCTGATATGGAGAATGAAGAATGAGAAGGATAATATGAATAATACTGTCAATGGAGAAGCATATCTAAAGCTTCTCTTCGAGAACCAAGTCCGTTAAGGACTGCTGAGTAAATTAATGATAAATAAATCAAATCCACAATAAACGATTATACAGGCTAGCCTCGACTCAGAAGACAGTTCTGCTTCGGGTCACCAGAGCATATAGGACAACTTCGTATGAAGCGGTGCAGGTTCTAGCGGGGGTGGTGCCTCTCGACCTCCTCCTACTAGAAGAAGTGATGAAATATTCATACAAGATAGAAGGCTCTACAGTACTTTCGGACAATCTACAGGTGAGGATTATAGAAGCGCCTAATAGGTGGAAGAAGATACTCCGGGAGGATACAATTGAAGCATGGAAACGGCGGTGGGTAACAACCCCTAAAGGAAGTACATTGAGGAAGTACTTTCCCACAGTACAGTCGAGGCTTCAAGCAAAGTGGGTCCTCCCGGACTACTGGATTTCCCAGTTCCTCACGGGGCATGGAGGATTTCGAGCTAAACTTCACGGTCTGGGCATTGATGTAGATCCTCTATCTACCTCTCTATCTATATGGGGCCCGCTCACTTCCATATTGGTGCTCGCAGAAGAATAGGACAAGTGCCAGAAAGACCTCCAGATTCTGAAAGCTAGGCCGAAAGAAGAAGGAAGAAGATAAAACAGAAGAACTATATATGTGCATATCTAGTAGTAGTGTGTTATTAAGTATTATGCCTAAAACACACTATTGCAAACACCCGTATTGCCATTGTGGCATGGGAGGGTGGAAATAAATAAATAAACGATTATACAATATTGTATATGCAATGGCGTCTATACTATTAGCATTGCAATATTATTATATCTCAAAATAAATTCATCAAATTGGTCCAGCATGCTGTGAATATATAAATGGCACAAAAAGGGCATAACAAATATAGACCCTGGTACAGAATCCTTTTTATCAAATTATTAACATCAGCCTGAAACATAGTGAATAGCTTCATCTCATTGTAACATACAACTTTTTTATTTATGAAAATTCTTGTTATTGGAGCATTTTCGAATTGGAGATCAACAAACTTGGTCCATTTAATTAAGTAATAAAATCTTACGAAGACACATTTGCTTTCTTTGATTGATAATTTGATCACAAAATCAAGAAAAAAGGTGGCCTACAATAATATTGGACCATTTGGCATGACCTCCACCCCCAAAATGTCAAAACAAGGATACATAGGCCAAACAGTGTCATATTTTTGTATACCACTTTTTTTTTTCAATTTTTTTATCACATTATGTCACGATTTAAGTGAAAAGTAAATTGGTATTTATGAGTTTTTAGTAACTCATTGAATTAATGAAAAAAAAAAAAAACGCCCTGTTTCTAAGAATTTTCATAAATAAAAAATTTGTAGGTTACCATAAGATGGAGCCATTTACAAAATGTTAGACGGATATTAATAATTTGTTAAAAAAAGTACTGAACCACGGACTAATAATTTCATATATAATAAACACTTATTTCACATATAATGAAGAGATATTTTTAGAATTATTTGGTATTTTTATTTCAAAACAATACACTATCAACAAAAAATAATTTCAAAATTTACTTCTTTTTTTTTGGAGGTATGGAGCTCTGAAATTTATTTTCAATTCAGATTGTAAGTATGCTTCACTGAAAATAAATGAACTTAAAAACTTTAAGGACAAAATACAGAACTATTTATAAAATGATACATTTTTTTTTTAATATCACAGCCACTTATTCTAAATAAATAGAATTTCATTTATTTATAATGTATTAAAAAATAAACCAAATAACTTCAACACTATAAAATCTATAGATGTTGAAGATGATTAAACATTTAAGATTTTTTTTGTTAGATTTAAATAATTTCAGGGTCTAGTGAAAGTTAAAGATTCTAGAGGAACAATTTTAATTTCACTTCTTTTAACTGAAGCATTTTCCAAGAAATAATTTTAAGATAAACATTATAAGTTATGATTTTATAGATTAATAATTAATATTTATATTAATAGAATCGTAGTGGATAAAAAATGACAAGTGATTATTGATGAAGTGACATAACAAAAAAAAAAATAATTCCCAATATTAATTATTTACATATTATTATATAATTATTCATTTTCAAAAGATGAAACCCACTGAGATCAAATACAATGATGGAATGTTAAATAGATAACAAAAACTCTTAAATCAAACAACTATAATCCAATATAGTGAATTATAAAACAGCTAAAATATTACAATAATATTTAATAAGCTAACATCAACTGAAATCGTTATTATACATAAGTTACAGTCTAATATTGATATAAGTCAATATAATTAGATACAATAATATCTCATAATGCAAAAAAATGATAAAAACCAGATATAAAATTAATCCAAACTATAAATAATATAAAATATTTTTTTTAAAGACAAAATTAATGGGTAATGTTTTCATTACAAATATAAATGTAGAAGTCTGCTCAAAAGGCACTACATTCGAAATCCTGATATGTATCTTGACTGTTATTTATTAAACCATAACAGATTTATTATTATTTTTTAATCTGAACATAACTGATTGTACTTTATTAGAAAATACTTGAAAAAAAAAATTGTAATATCCTTTAAAAACATAATATCAAATAAAAAAAGTATAGTACCTTTTGAAACAGACACACTCAAATAGATCTTTTATTAGAAATAAATAAATTAAATATCAATCATAAAAATATAATACTTAAACTTAATAACAAAATCATTGCGGAGTGTGAATGGGAAGGAAGAGGGGGGATCAAAATTAGGGACTTGAGTAACCTATAAGTTACTATTTCATGAAAAACTATTTTTATATTTTTTAATTTCAACTTTTATCTGGTGGATGTTGACTGCTTTAGCTTTGGCTGCAGGAGATAAAATTTTAGTAAATCTGTCGTAATATTGAAGAAGTGTAGCGAGAGCAAGTTGTACAAGCGATGATCCAGTGACTAGATTAGGAAAACAACCGACTATTTCTTTATTCACAGATTCGATACCAGCCTTCCAACTGGATAAGAAAGAATCGACGAGAACCAAAGCCTTACCTGAAATTGCATGACAAATTTAAAAATAAATTCAAGGATCTAAATATAAATTATTACTTACAAAGCAGCATTTATTAATTTCACTAACTATGAGAAAAAAGAGCGTCAAGTTTATATGGTTGTGTAATAATTAATTCTATTTGTTATTTTCAAGTCCTCAAACAAGCACCATATTTTAAAATAATAATTTAAATTGCAAATCATTGATAAATTGTTAAATATAGTTGTTTTTTTTAATCATAGTAATAACTGCCTAAAGAATTTTATACTTCGTGACCGAAGCAGGGTCGGACTAAAGGATATAATATAGTCCATGTTACAGACCCCTTTTTATCAAATTATTAATATCCTACTGAAACTTTGTACATAGCTTCTATCGTAAGCCACAACTATTTTATTTACGAAAATTTTCGGAATTAAGGCATTTTCAATCTGGATATTGCCAAACTTTTTCTATTTAATTAGGTACTAAAAACTCATAAATGCTCATTTGCTTTTTCACTTAATTGTAAGATAATTTGATCCCAAAATTGAGAAAAAAGGTGGCCTACAAAAATATTGGGCCGTTTGGCATGATCTACACCTCCAACATTTCAAAATAATGAGTTGTATACACCTAATCACACAATATTTTTGTGGGTCACCTTTTTTTCTCGATTTTATGATCAAATTGTCTTACAATCCTAGAAGAAAGCAAATGTATATCTATGAGTTTTTAGTACCTGATCAAAGAGACAAAAACTCCAAATTGAACTCCCCAATTCCAAGGGTATTCCTAAGGAAAATAATTGTAAATTACGATGAGATGAAGCTATTCATGAATTTTCAGACGGGTGTAGTAGATAGCCTCCTGTATTTACTCCTTTATGTGACAGTGTGTGAGGGTATGAGAAGGAATATATAATATATAGGAATGTGAGGTTGCACTGTGAATTGTACTCAATTGTACAGTGGACAAATTATTCATTGAAAAGTCTCATATCGATAAATAATCGATGAAGAAGGAAGAAGGTTGGAGGTACCAAAAGGACCCAGCAGGTAGCAAAAGCTGGAGAAGGCATTCTAGACCGGGACAGGTAGAAAGGAGGTTGTCAGAAGAGAGGAGGACGGACTTGAGGCTGGAGATTGAGGCGGAACACATACCTGGGAAGAGAGTCTACTACAAGACTTAGAAGATCAAGTTATAACACTTTAATAGAGTCAATTTTTTACATTGTAGTATCAAATCATTTTGTTACACAGGAGGGAAAAGTCATTTATTTATTTAGTTGTCCTATAGGCCTCACAATTGAAGAATAAACCAGGTGAGTCAATTCATTCAAAGTGTATTTACTAAGTCCCACATTTCATATATATGTTTTTATTGTTTCTTCTCACTCAGTGTCACAAAAGGTATTAGGTTCCCGAATCCACAACGACAGTTAAACACCCTTAAAAGTCTATATCCAGTGCCGGGGATTTGTTTTAATATTCAGGAGTGTAAATAACCTAAGTTCCCCGATATATAAACGGAAGGCTATCCGCCTAATTCCCGCCAAAACAAATTATTTACATTTGACTTTCAATAGGTAATTTACACGGGTGTTAATAATTTGCTTAAATGGGATCTGTACCATGGACTGATAAGACATATGCATATATAAATGTACATTTATTTATTAAAAATATCAGAACAGGTACCAGAGTTAGGCGATGAAATGTGGGGACCAGGTTTGGTATCAATCATACTGAGAACTGAAAATAATTACTATAAATTAATAATATAGGTGCTCACTTTCTAATTTCCTCAATTCATCTTGTTTATCAGCAAGAGTTTCATATTCCTTGACAAACTGTATGATACCACCAAAAGACGGAGACAGAACCTCCTCAGCATATTCACTGCTATAAGTAGCCAAAAGTTGCTTCATTCTCTCAGCTTCCCGACAGTTATCACGAGTTCGTTCCTAAAATCAAATATGTAATGTTAAATACTTATACCCACATGATTATTATAAACCTCCTCAAAATAACAATACATACTAAATGACAATATAATCAAAGCTCTAAATGACAATATAATCATTTTTTTCAGTGGATTAAATATTAACTGGTGAATCAACATTGAACTTCTTCAAAAGGGAGTAAGATTATTTTTTTATCAATACAGTTTGGCCTTTACTAAAAGCTTTCAAAATAAATCATATGATTCTACAACACAGTTTTAAATTTATTTCATTACATTATTATAACTTACAATAAACTTATTGAAATAAAAATATGAAACACTAACCAATAATGTCGAAAGTATCATATCATAATTATTTATATGGAAAACCAGTTGCTGCTGCCTATTTGAAAATATGGCTGCCATTCGAAATATGAAGCATTCAACTTCTTCAAGCAGCTGTGCCAACAAACGGGAGACTAACTCATTCGGGTAGCTTTCACTTAAGCTTACCAATGCACCAGAGAATTCAGCATATCTTCTAGCGATCTAACGAAAATAAAAACAAATAAATAAGTATCCAAAGTGATTAGAGCTTCTTAAAATGTGCTAGAGTAAGTTTTCTTGATAATTACACTACATTAAAAATATGATATTATATACATGAGGGTATGAACCAAAAAACTCAACATCTCAATTTTTTTCCAAAATCAAAATAACAATGATACATAATATATATACTTATATGTGTTCACCATCAGAAAAAATAATCTAAATCTGTTTAAACCAGAGTTGGGCAAAATATAAATCAGTAATTAAATGATTTCAACTGAAAATAAAACTTGATGACCACGCCATTTTTATACTTGATTCAATAGCACTACAAATATAGCAAATGTGAGACATGACTACCTGATTTTGATCGTAATCAGGTAATCACATAATCAAAATCACTGCAATTGTAATCACATAATCAAAATTACTGTAATCGTAACCATTATCATTATGCCCTTCTATGGTCCAAACTCCGATCCCTTCATTTATTTTATTATATTTAAAAATCTGTTTCATCCCAAGTATTTTAAGCATCCATTTGAAATTTCATATTTGAATTGATATGCTTACTTGATATTTTAAATAATAATAAATGTTTTAAAGAGAAGTTGGTTGGGATGTTTAGTCAAACAAAGAAAAGTAAAAATAAATAAATTTTATTTTATTTTTTTTTATTTATTTATTTTTTTCCTGGGAAGTTGTCAATTTAATTTAGTTGTTTGGCAATAATAACTTCCAGTTGTTAACAATTGAGTATATTTTACTATCAATGTTACATGTTAACAGGTTAGTTGACGTTTCGGGACCTTTATTCCCATCTTCAGAACTGCAATTCCAATACTCTTGTGGATGCAAGGCTAAAAATTTTTTTAAGTTACAATATTGTGCTTGTACAGTTAGATCCAAAGGTCAATTTTTCACTATGGCAGAAACTCAATTATTGGTCAAAAGGAGGATGTTGCTCTAGATGATAAATTTTAGAACATAAATTAGAAAATTGACGATGGAGCACATTATTATTATTATTAAAATTAAGGTAATTACAAATTTAATGTAACAAACATAATTCAAATATGTAATGTAACAAGCACAATATTGTAACTTAAAAAAATTTTAGCCTTGCGTCCACAAGATTATTGGAATTGCAGTTCTGAAGATGGGAATAAAGGTCCCGAAACGTCAACTAACCTGTTAACATGTAACGTTGATAGTAAAATATACTCAATTGTTAACAACTGGAAGTTATTATTGCCAAACAACTAAAATAAATTTTATTTATTTTCTGACTTTTCGGCCCGAATTTCAGGCCTTCATCAGGGCTGCTCTCACAAAAAATGCCATAAATGTCACTGTTTATAAAATTAAGCATTATTAATTAATAAAAGTAAGCAAAAAGCTGAAATTAACAATGAGTGTGCTGTTTAAAAGTTATAAGAAGTGGGGAGGAGATAGAAAAACAAAAACTAAAAAAAAAATTTTTAAAAACACCAGCATAATTATCATTATTTTGTAATTAATTGTTTTATTCATTGAAAAGGAACCTATTACTGTGATATGAAATTTCATCTTTAATGCTGGATTTTAATTTGTTATTTCTTTCTTTTTTATGATAAGTAGAATAAATAAAAATAGTGAAATATTTAAAAAAACAGCAGTCTCGTTAACCACTGCCTCACCTAAACGTCGCCTCTAATGATAAGACATAAGTTATTTAAATTAAAATTATCAAAAGTCTGATATGTGCGTAAATCAATTCTAAAAAATTTATTTTTTTGGATGAGAAAATGTATTCATAACAAAATTATAACTACAACAGAAATAATATCAGATAATTTTTTGTATTTACTACATATTATACGCATAAAAATTATTATACATAGATAGTTAACCTTATAGTTATTCAAGAAGATGGTCGACAATAGTAGAAACTATTAATTGAATGATCACATTTCAGTCCACACTATAGGACTTTTTCAGGGTTACAAAGAACAAGGTAAAATAAGAAATTTTAAGAATAATATAAGTAATGATGTAAAGATGGTTGACCGTGATATAATATGAGGAGTTGATCAGGGAGTGCGGTCAAATAAATACTAAATTTTAAAAAACAGTATTTTTAATTATTAGGCCGATGTTTCGATCCAACTTGCAGGTCTTCATCAGGGCGTGGTATGTAGCACTGCAGGAGGCAGTTAATAGACTAGTCGGTCGACTGACTCTGCTTCCTGTAGTGCCACATGCCAGGCCCTGATGAAGACCTGCAAGGTGGGTCAAAACGTTTCCGTAATAATTAAAAATACTATTTATTAAAATTTAGTATTTATTTGACCGCACCTTCTTGTCGTCCCATTCCTCGCCTTTAAGGCTATAAGGGGTTTCCCGGGCTAGAGGGTGAGAGCAGGGATTTAAAAGACATCCCCGGCAACGAGATGTGAAATCATGACTATTTTTATCCAGTTATCAATTGTCAGGTTGCCGGGCAACGGGGGTGCCGTGCACACTTTTAGCCCATTCGGCCACCCCACCCTCTAAAATCTTAGGACTAAAACCAAATACATTTGAAATAGGTTTTAAAAAGTTCTAGTTTATTACTTTTTTCTTGTTTTTACTTTCCTACATATAATAGGTAAGGAAAGTATTGCAATCAGGTCAAATTTCCGACATGTGATTTTCGACGGATCTATACATTTCACAGCCCCCTGAAGAAAAAAAAAACGGCTGAAAAAACGCCGATTAGCCTGTCGTTTGAAAGGTAATGAAATTCCTTACAAAGCTATATAAAAATCGTTCATTTTGGACAATTATTAACGAAGTTACAGCTATTCAATTTCCAATGAATGATTACGAGTTCATTTCCTGGTGTCAGAAAGGGGTGAATGAGACAATAAAGATGACTAAGTGAAAGTAAGAAAATCTGTTTCCCGCATCACACAATCTTCACTATTTCCTCTACTGTTAACAGAAATTATTGTTTGACAATACTAAGCTACGGCAAAAAGTTTTTGATCAGCAATATTAGTGAGTATTGAAATTTTTACACTGATCTACCATAAGCCGGTTTCATTGCTTTAGTTTATCAAATGAATCGTACTCAAATCTTTTGTTTGATCAATTTTCAGGAAAATAAATTTAGTTCAATTCTTTTTTGTTTTTTCATGAACATATGTAAAGATATAAAAACTTTTCTGAAATAAGTAGGAAAGTCGTGTGAGTAGACACACCAGATATTTTGGGTTAGGGGATCCTCCCCTTCCTCGCCTTTAAGGCTATACGAGGTTTTCCCGGGCTAGAGGGTGAGGTTGTATATCAGGTTGCTGTACACAAGCGTTAGTCCATTCGGCCATCCCGCCCACAAACTAGAGGTTCAACCAAATCTATAACCAGATAGAGAAGTTTAGAGCGGGTGATTCATTCTGTTCTGTGGGTCCGCCACAAAATAAATGTCAGCCCTGCCCTCCTCCCATACCAGATTTAGCCCGGCACTGAGAATGTTAAAGCAGGCAACACTTTAAAATAATTTACCACTAGTCCTCACCTAATTTATAACTCTTTAACAACTAACTGGACTGCAAGCTCGGCAAGGTTTATATAACCTACATAATATTCGTGGAAGGACAAGACAATCTCATTGGTTGAAACCAGAAACCGACTCAAACTATCTAGTGCCTTCTAAATTTTTCGAATGACTTAACTATTTTTATAACTTTTGACATTCAAAATCATTGTAATATTAAATTTAACCAAGCAAACTATCTAGTGCCTTTGAAATCTTTCGAATGACTAAGTATTTTTATAAATATTCACATTCAAAATCAATGTATTACTAAATTTAACCAATCAAGCTACCAGAAATTGGGTCCTAAATGCGATATGCCAAGGAATTTTATATTGTTCTTTGTAATATTGAAGAAAGCCTGCAATTTAGGCTGAAACTTCTAGATTCAATAAATAATTTCAACTCTCTTTTAAGTTATTCTTGACTGTCAACCAAGTTATCTTCTTGGTTGAAATATAAAATCAGAAAATAATTCTAAATAATCTTAATTTTAAATCACATTACCATGAACACCTACATAATGAGGTTTTGTTTCTTTATTAAACTTGGTAGGATCACATTCTTTTATACTGTGAATATTCAAACGAAAAACATATTCAAATCTGTAAAAAATAAAAAACATTAATATTAATAATTATATTGCTATATTAAAAGAGTTTATTCAATAAAACTTTGAATTGTATAGCAATAATAAATAGAAACAAATATTTTTATTACAAAAAACTGATTAGACAAATCGGGAAATCCTTTCCATCTTAACACATTAAAGACGGGGGATCTTGACGAAAGTATGCTAGTCGAGATAAATCGTAGTACTACGAATCCCATCTTTAAGCAGCAGTCGAGATAAATCGTAGTGCTACGACTACCGCATTTAATGTGTTAAGACAAAGTAGTTTCATCTACTTAAACATCTTGGTGAATTATAAGAGATATCTCTAACAATCTCTAACTCCCATTAATTTATGGATTTAGAGTTCCATGGTTTTAAGTGGTTAGGTATTAAACCTAGTTACCTAGGTCAAATATTTAGTGTAAATACTTTACTATAATATAATGATACCACATATAAATGATAAATAATAAATAATTAATTACCTCGGCCACAAGATCTCAAGCAATTCATCCCAATATGCATCCAAGGCAGGCACAGCATGTTTATGGCACAGAAGGCGGTAACGAAGAACTAATTGTGCACATAAAAACAATGAAATGGTATCGTAACATGTTCCAGTATAATTTTCTACATTTTTCTGAAAAAATAAAATACATAAAGCTATCATAATATGAATAAATAACCATAGTGAAGATACGGAACTTAACTTAAATTAATTAAATTTAATCTTAGCAATGATTGTGGTATAAGATATAATTGCAGATGACTTGAATGTCAAAGTAAAATAATAGAATCACTCAGTTGTAATTGAACATTTTATAATGATCTACACTATATACAATAATGTAATACAGTTTCCTTATCTGCCTCTCAGGAGCGATGGATATTGATAAACAAGATAATAAAATAAAAGAAATTTCATGAAGAAGTAGCCAATAATAGTCCATGGTACAGACCCCTTTTTATCAAATTATCAACATCTGCATGAAAATTCATAAATCGGCAATCGGCAAACTTTGTCTATTTAATTAGGTACTAGATCCTAAAAACTCATGAATAACCATTTCCTTTCCACTTGAACCATATGATAATATGATCACAAAGTAAAAAAAAAAAAAAGATGGCCTACAAAAATATGGCTCCGTTTGGCATGACCTCCACACAGAAAAAGTTAAAATAAAGAGGTTATATAGGCCACAGGCTCTAACATTTTTGTAGGCCACATTTTTTTTCGATTTTGTGATCTTATTATCTTACCATTCAAGTGGGTATTTAAATGGATATTCATGAGTTTTTAGTATCTGATAAGATTTCTTGAGAACCAAAGAAAGTACAGAAAGAATTTTTTTAATAAAAGTAAACACATTTTGTGAACATGTTTTAATTGCCTCGGCTATTACTATTGCCATATCAGTGACAAAGTTCATATCGAGTTCTACCCATAGTGAGAGAACTATGGACCAATAATTTTCAGCAATAGACACAATGGGTCTTGATGAGCGTAACTTTCCAAAAACTTTACTGACTCTTAATTAAAGAGATTTTATCCTGTATATCAAGCTAATTACTTGCAAAGTAAACTGTTACTTCAAATGGTCATTATAAAATATTGAATTTCAGTAATTGTGTGTGTTAAATAGATTACCAAGATAATTTAGGTTGTATTACTTTTTTTCTCCTTATATCAGTTTTAAAATAAAAAAAACCTTGTACCATGACGACCCATGAAGAATCTTGGGTTTATTTTGTAAGGAAGTACTTTTATTCAAGGCTAACAATTGCGTAGGGAGTTGATTAGGCCGAGATCACACTCAGGTTTAACCATCAGGTTTTTCCCATAATTAATTATTTTAATTGAGAGTGCCTACCTTATAGAGGCTGGGTTTGCCCCACCCAGGAGAGTCTCCTGAGCCCAGGGTCAATCGGTGGCTGATGTAACAGAATAAATAATTCTTCATCAACCAGATTCGAACCCACAACCTTGGCTGTGGAAGTCAGTGCTTATTCACTGAGCTACCCCACTCCTTAATATCATTTATACTTAAAATATAATTAATTAAGGAGAAGAAGAATAAATATCGAATGCGAGAATTCTCATACTAGAATCGATTTATTTGATTAATATCTTTAAAACTTACGGTAATACTTAGATACTTACAATTAGGAGAGCAAGAGTTTTTCCCATTATTTGTGAGAATAAATCAAAAGCAGCATTTCCTTTGACGATGAAGAACTCCGAAATGAAATGAAACTCTCGACAGGCATTATCCACTAAAGCATACTGTTCACAACGAAAAAGCGCCTCATAGGGATACTAGAATATTTTCAAAAATAGCTTTTTTGAACACAATATATATTTTTCATTAAAAAAAATATATATACATCACAATTTTATCTCAATATCATTAAAACTATAAATTTATATATAAAAATTATATTATACAATTTCTGTTCATAAAAATCTGATATGATGCATCACACAACTTTCACTTACCACTTCATGTTCAGAAAAAATTAATTTTTTTGAATAGTTAATAAACCTTATGAATATTACTTTCATTACAATTGATACAAATTATTATATCTGTGCATTATATATTTTTGGTCAACCAAACTGAAAAAAACCAATAGGTTTTTCATTTAGTTTCTATTGAAACGTTTATTAATTATTTAATAATATATGTTTTTAATAGGAGTTGCAACGAGGGTTGCCTTTCACATCAGGGCTGAGCTCCAGAGGTCGAGGTCAAGCCAATCCCCAATTCCCTGGGTCGTCCTCGCCTCCGATTTCCCGGCAATTGCAAATCTAGGATTCGATTTGGCCATCGCTCGGTAGACATTCGTCTTACATGGCCGTACCATATCAGTCTTCGCCGTCCAATTCTCTGGTTGACGGATACAGGGCCCTCCATCTTGTCCCCCACGACATCGTTCCTGATTCTAACCATCCTTGTCACACATAGGCATCTCCTCCAAAAGTCCATTTCCACAGCTTGTACCTTTGAATATAGCTGGGATGACATGGTCCACGTTTCAGCTGCGTACGTCAGGATGGGTTCTATGATGGATTGGTATATCCTTCACTTGTTTTTTTTTAGAACTCCGTCATTCCACAAGGATGAAGCATTCGTGTGGCTTTTCTCGAGCTTGCTCCACCTTTTTCCGCACATCAATTTCTGAGGATCCCGAGGAATCAAGGTAAGATCCCAGATATTTAAATACATCTACCTTAGTACAGGTCTGAGAGTCGACACGAATATTACTGGTGTCCTCGATGCAGATGGCCAAGTATTCTGTCTTTGATAAATTCACCTTAAGACCCACAGACTCATAACATTCCCATATTGAACACAATATCTTCCAAAAACATCTTTTTGCACGTATAATATAAAATTAGACATTATTAATTGCAATAATTAAAATTCATCAGCCTTCCATCTTCTACAACCTTAAGGATTAAAAATTCATATTTTTTTTAATCTTTAGTTTTCTAACGATATATCATACATCTATATTACTACTCATATTTCCGAAACTTTGTTTTCTATCTGTAAAAAATATTTCTCTCAATATTTTTTCCTTTAATTAAGTATCTAATTCTTTCATAAAGGTGTTGCGAATGACCCTGTAGGGTAGAGGCAAGAATAAAAACAAATAAATAATTCTTTCATAGTTCATATTTATTCATTTTATACTACTAATTACCCATTTAGTCAATTCTAATAAAGAAAATTACAGGTGCTTTTTAGGTAATTAAAATTTTTAAAAATTTGGCATTTAAGTCCGGTCAGACTATTTCAATAAGGTTAAAATATCTATCTGATGTTAAATACTATTTAATTTTACATTGATATGACAAGTTTAATTCAAATTGTTTCAACATTTTCAAGAGAATTGTGAAAAACATGTAAAATTGATAATATAAACCAGGGGTCTCTAAAACTACGGCCCAGTAAGCACTTCCAATTAGGCCCACAATAGTTTCTTTGATTACAAGATAAAATTTTAAAACTATTTAAAAAAAAAACAGAATTTAGTAAATCACTCAAAACAGAATGTTACTACAAAATTTATTGTATTAGTTTTTTTCTCGAAGAAAACTCATTTCACAACTGAAGTTTCATTTACAGAACAAGATTTTTTTTTTTTTCAACAAAAACTATGGGTGGCCTGTGTAACTTAGTGGAGATCTCAATGCGGTCCGTTGGACTTAATGGAAGTTTTAAAGATTTTCCGGTTAGTTAATTTTAATAAAAAAGATCCTATAACATCCCAGACCTACACCTTACATAAGTAATTTAGGAATTGAATGAATTTTTGTTTTTGAGCTAAACTGTTGCATAAACAAACAGAGATGATTACGCGAGACATTTTTATTTGGACTTAAAACCTATATTTCTGTTGAAAACTTGGATTCAAAATCTTTTCTACCGCTATACTTTTTTTTTTTAAGGACTTTTCCAATACTGTGGTTGCCCTTGACCTAAAAATTCTTTAAGATATTTTTCCATTCTTTTCTATCCACGGCTTGTTCTTCTATGATGCCATGACCTGGCAGGCTTTTTCCAGTGCGTCTTTCCATTTTACCCTTGGTCTTCCCTTTTTCCTTCTTTCTTCTACTTCCAGCTCCATACACATCTTTGGCAATCTTTCAGGCGTCATTCTTTTCACATGACCAAACCAGCATAACCTTTTCTTTTCAATATTTGCTAAAATGTTTTGTTTTTTTCCACCTCCATCAATTCCAGAATTCTTTCATTTTTGATCCTTTCCCTTCTGGATTTTCTTGTTACTCTTCTCCAAAAGTCCATCTCTACCAAAAGTTACCGCAATACTTTCCCTTAATATATACTTTATACATAGGTGAATGAAACATATACTTTTATATTAGTATATATTTCATACATAGTCAAATGAAAGTATAACAAGTTTTAATTTTCTACACATGATAGGAATATAAATAAAAATATTTCATGTGTATTAATGATTATTTTTAAAATAAAATTACAATCTACATAATCAAATATTATTTCAAACTCACCCTCTTTTCAGTTTTTTGTTCGGCATGAGGAACTATGATGGGTGCTTCTAAAAGAGATGTAAGAACATCTCCACGGTTACCGATGGTAAAAACAGTATTTTTTTGTCTCAACGACGCTTTAGAGAAAAGACCTCCTCGGCCGGTTTCTTCAATACCCATTAAATCATCTTTAGAAGCCTGAGTTTCATACTGAAAAACAGAATTTATTTAAAATTGAAAATATAGCAATTATGTAAATGAAAACATATATAATATACATGCATCCATACCATCAATTTACTTAAAAGAGAAGAATAATACTTGAAATAAGAGTAATAAATTTTCCCCATAGTATCAACGTAGGATCCACAAATTTCTTGTGCTACAGCTCTTTCATTAGTTAAAGCGAATTCGAAAAAAAATCTGTAAAATATTTTCAGTTAAAAATTTGAAATAATTTAAAATATTAATATTTATAAAGGTTAAGCATAGGTTATTACTTGTACTTAAGTATACCCCTTTGGGGTATTTGGTAGTTGGCCATCGGTTTCCTAAACTTGGATATCTGTTCGAGAAGGTAAGCTCTTATTTTGGTTACCGCTTTTATTTTTAACTTTTCCAAAATATCTTTAACATCCTGACATGACTTCACTTCTTTAAAACCTTGCTCTTTAACAAAACTGATCTTATGATTCAATACTGACAATTGATTCAAAAAATCTTTATCAGTAACAGGCTTATCGAGTATTCCTCTAAAATTTAAAACAGATAATTACACATTAAAATTGTCTTGTTACAGTACAAAACATTTACTCAACATTAATTGAGTTATATATTAATTCATTTTTAAAAATCATGAATATTATTTAATCTTAATTACTAAACAATGCACATAATAATTACTACTTTCTAATCCTGACAAACATGTTTAATGCTACGATATTACGAATGTTATAATGTTATTAACAGAAACTCATTTTTCCTGTGTGAAGAAATAAAAAACAATTTTTATAGATAAAATATCCATTTAACATTCTTGTTTTTAAATGATAAATGGCCTTTTCTATTTTGATTCATTACATGCTTGCTCCTAGTTAAATTGAGTACTTAAATAAATTTTCAATTTATATTCATCAGTGAACATTAAATTATAACAATAAAAATGTCCTGAATTATTCTGATACATACTAATAACAGGAAGATCAAAATCAGTGACAAATTAAATAATTTTATTATGGCTTCCCTGATAAGATATTAAGATACTAGATCATGAGAATAAAGTCTGGTTGTCAGGATAGCCCTGGAGCCAGGGCCCAAAAATCGACCTGATCGCAGGCAAAGGTTTGATTGTAAATTACGAAAGTGTATGTTATTCTGAGTAAAAAAAACCTTATCTCCATTCCGGAGCTGCTACTTTCAAATATGGCGGCTGATTTAAAGAATATTAGGCCAATAATTTGAGGTTCGAAACGAGAAATCCATTACGAAAAATGTGAGAAAAGTTTCTATTTTTTAAACCTGTATATATGGGTTTAGACAAGTAAAAAACAAAATTGCTAAAGCGGACCACCAAAGGAAAACTTTCTACAGCCAAGAAAGTCAGAGTTTTTCGATATTTTTTGGGTTTTTTACCTATAACTCCTGAACAATGCATCAAAACGAAAAATGTATTCTTTAATAAATTAAAGAACGTTAAATTTTGCATCAACCGAGTACATAAACTTTAAAATTTGGTTACGCAATAAGGTATAAAATCACGGTCAACCAACACTGAGTTTTACCAAATTTGCCAAAAACTGAGACAAATTTCTATAAATGGCCCTGTAACTTGGAAATAAATTCCCTAAGAGGAAAAACTCATAGAATCAAAGTTGTAGATCATCAAATTTCGCATATACTCAGTACCAACTAATTTAATGTAGATCATTGGCTGCGAACAAAATTGGTAATCTCCCGATGGTTAGAAATAGGTAAACGTGATTTTCAATATTTCAACAGTATGGGTGTCTATCCTAATGAGTTAGTTTTGTTTAAAGTCTGTTACATGCAGTATAAGCCTCTTTTCCACCTCTCAACGGCAAAAGATTTTGGTAAACGATGTGCCGAAAGATACCGAATTTTATAAAGGAATAACGAATCCCGATTCCAGATATATAATTGGACTAAAATAAAAATGACAGTTCTCAGTCTATGCAAAATTTGATGCTCTACAACTTTGATTCTAAGGATTTTTCCTCTTAGGGAACTCATTTCCAAGTTAAAGGGCCATTTATAGTAATTTGTCTCAGTTTTTGACAAATTTGGCAAAACTCAACATTGGTTGACCGTGGTTTAATATCTTACCACGAAACTAAATTTTAAAGTTAATGTGTTCGTTTGATACAAAATTTAACGTTCTTCAATTTATTAAGGGATACATTTTTCGTTTTGATGCATTGTTCAGGAGTTATGGGTAAAAAACCCAAAAAATATCGAAAAACTCTGACTTTCTTGGCTGTAGAAAGTTTTCCTTTGGTGACCAGCTTTAGCAATTTTGTTTTTTACTTGACTAAACTCATATATAAAAGTTAAAAAAATAAAAACTTTTCTCACATTTTTTGCAATGGGTTTCCGTTTCAATCCTCAAATTATTGGCCTGAATTTCTTTAAATCAGCCACCATTTTTTGAAGCAGCGGCTCTGGAACGGCAGACAAGGTTCTCTTTACTCAGAATAACATACACTTTCGTAATTTACAATCAAACCTTCGCCTGCGATCAGGTCGATTTTTGGGCCCTAGGAGGATCAAGATCATACTGTAGATGGAACTCTGAAAATAACTTAGTGATGACAAAAATATTCACGGGTCAGCTCGCTGAGCTACCTCAAGTGATAAAAATCCACAAACGATACATTTAAGTAGAAGTAGGGCGTAACCTGGAGATTGGTCACCTTCATGTACTTTGACACATACTTTAGTCCTTTAATGTGTAGTATAGATTATAACATACAGTACTCTTATTTGTATTATATGTTTTATAGATACACTGTGAGACCAACATGATCTTGACCCTCTAGCAACCGGGTATGAATTGGTACTGATACTTAACCCAAAAATAAAGGCACTTCAAAGCATATAATAATAGGAACTGTAGGATTTCCATTAAATCAATCCTTTCTTAGTTAAAGGCATTGAGTTAAGAAAGAAAAAAGTCTTATCAGAAGAATAGATAGCGTGAAAGCACAATAATTAAACAATAAGCTTTATAAAAATAGGTAAATTAAAAACAAAAACTAATTAAGAATTAACAAGTAAATAAACAAACTAACTTGATGAGTGCTTCGGGGACAGCCATATCATCAATAAATTGACTAAGTTGTCCTCTAACAGCTTGACGGTTATGAAGTTGTTGGCTCATAATAATAGATTTTTTTTGTAAATAGACAATTTCATTACTGATACTGCCTAGATCAGATTGAAAACTCAGCAGCATAGACTCCATCCTCTACGAAAAAATAAAATAAAAACCATACTCAGATAAAAACAAACTCACCAAAAACAGATACTACAAAAATCTTTTTACCTCCAAAATCTTGTCACAGGCATTAATTTGATTATGCAAACTAACAATATTTTGACTTTCCTTAATATAATTTTGAATTGATTTATTTTCAACATCTTTTAACTGTCTTTCAATTTGTCGAGAATATTCTCTTAAATCAGTACCAGCTTTTAAGACTTCTTGAACTTCTTCATCTTCTAAATAACACTCCAAAACTTCAGCATTATTAACTGAATCTTTGGCCATTTTAGAAGAGTTATTATTCAAAGATACAATACTAGAATTGTATAGGATATTTAGAACCCTTCAAAAGTCACATTCACAGTAAAAAAAAAAAAAAAAAATTAGAAATCTAATCCATGATTATCTGAATCTACATAATTTATTTAAAAAATCCATTGCAATAATTAATCACAGTAAACTACATTATCTTAACAACGTTGACAACAAACAGTAATTATCATTGAAGAAGTTCAACTTGCTGTTATAAACAGTGTTTACACTTCAATATTGTAAATTGACAATTTAATTCAAATTTTCCTGAGAAATAGACGTTTTTTATGACAAAAGAAAAATCAAAATATCTCGGCATTTATAATTAATCGTATTAATATATATGTAATATTCATTTTTAAAATTAATTATCAAATATTGATTAGTATATATAAAACACCCCTCCAATGTTCTTATTTCTGGCTTCGAATCCGCCTATGGTGTGTAATAATTTATTCTGTGACATTATCCATGGATATTAACGGACCTGAATTAAGGAGACCCTCCTGGGATACCCCCAGCCTCTATAAAGTGGATACTCTTAATTCAGGAGAAAACCTGGAGGTTGAGCATGATATTCTTTGGTCATATCACTTTCTTGCAAAAACATTGATCTAGAAATTCTTTACAAAGAACTGATCCTAAAGGGCTCCTTACACGATTAATATAGAATTTCGTCAATATATTGACCGTCTATGGGATTCATTTATATCAATTATATTTACGCCAATTAATTAATATATATTTCTGATCGTGCATCTATTCAAAGTATACAAACACACCCCAAAATCTTTAATAATCCACCTCCGTATTTTACTGTTCGTTGCAAACATTCATCCGAAAATTCTACTCCAGTTCTTCTCAACCATGCTGCTCCCTTCCCGAATGAAACATCTCACATGTTGATTCATCTTTCTAAAAAAAATTCTTTCATTCTTTTTGTGTCGAATTTCTATGTTCTTTAGAAACTTGAGTTGCTTTCGCTTGTTTAAAAATCGAAAAAATAGTTTTCTTCGTATGACACTTAAATCTTTAAAGTCAAACGATAGGAGTTTCCTTGTCATCAATGAGGACAAATCTTGGTTCCTTGCAGCATCGGCTATTTCTTGAGCCAGTTGTTTGCTATATTTTTAGCGATAGTTAAAGAACAATAATTTTAAATGTTTTTCAGCAGCAGGTTTTTTTAGATCAGCTTGAACGTTTCAAGTCTCCAGTTAGCTTGGCTTTGTAAAAAGTTTTGGTGGCATAATGAATTCCAGAATAGAACCTATAACTTCTTTTTGAATTTACCTGATTGTAAGTCCTCGTTGATGTAAAATTTTATGCCCGTCAATATGTCACCATTTCAAAAAATAAAAGTAACATTACATAGAAAACATACAGAAATTGTGAAATATGAAATGTTAAAATAAATTACCGAAAAAAATGATAGTGGTATTTATTTTTATATTTGTCAACGTTTCGGCACAAAGTTCAGGCCTTTATATGGACTAAGAATAGGCCAGATAACAATATTAGAAACTTATATAAAAAACCTGGAAGATTACTAACGTGGAATACGCATACTAGACTGAAAAGATAGGAACTTAACCGACGTTATGGCCAGCTATATAGACTACCTTATAGAAAATCTAAACTTTCTATTGAAAACAAACTACTGATCTACAAGACAATACTAAAATCCATCTGGACCTACGGACTAGAACTGTGGGGGACAACCACATTTTCTAACATCAAACGCATTCAATCCTTCCAGTCCAAAGTCCTCCGTACAATAGTCGATGCTCCCTTCTATGTCACCAATAAAACCCTGCATAATGACCTTAATATTCCATTTATTCTTCATATTATCCCAGACAAATTCCCCAAATTGCATCAGAACCTTTCCCCTCACCCTAATCCCGTAACACAATCCATATCTAGCACCACTTATCTCTACAATCCTCCTCGCAGCTTAAAACGGCAGTGACCTTTTGTAACATGTATATATTGGAGTTCTGGCAATGGCCAGATTCTCCACTCAAGTCATGAGTGTCTGTGGTTGTAGCGCCCTTACTCAATCTCCACTGGCTTTTAATGCCAGTGAAGTGGTTGAGGAAGAAGCCCAGGGATCTCCTGAAGCCTCGCTTTCCCTCCACATGTGGGGGGACAAGTATGGTTCGGAGTTCCCATGGCCAACTGTAAGTAGTGTAAACAGGTATGCCTGCGTCTAAGATGTTTATTTTCATTTTTTTAAGATAATTTTAATTCTATTTCATTCATTTATTTTTATTCTATTATTACTATTATTTATATTTTCTCCCTTCACTATATTTTATTTTGTTCTTATTTAGCTTTATATTATTTTGAAATTACCTTATTTATTTTTTTTAATTTGTAAATATGCTGTGAATGTGTTCTCAGAAATCTATTATAAATGTCCTTTATTGAGACAGATTGTAATATTTATCAATAAACAAATATTCCAGTTGATTACATCAATATAAAATTATAAATCAAAAGTTGGTTTGTTCGAAATTTTCACACCACTGTAGGTTTAGAGGTAGGTTACGATTGGAACATATATAACTAGGGATGGGTCGTTACAGATTTTTAGTGTACCTGTTCCAATCCGTTCCATTCCCCAAACGGAACTGTTCCAAATTATCGACACCTTTCCAAAGCCGTTACTCCAGAATTTATAACCTAGGCATGGGAGATAGTCGATAGTTTTCCACTATCGATGAAAAATTAGCAGTAGTATCGATTGTTTTCCACTATCGATGAAAAACTAGCGGTAGTATCGATAGTTCAGCGACTACCCACCACAGACTAAAGGAAGATTTATTTGCGCTCTATTCTTTGTTCATTTACTTTAAAATGTTGCATAAGCTTCAATTTAATTAATATAAAATATAACGTTTAAAATTAACGTTTTTGTGCAATGTAACATAAATATGAAATAAAACATTTAAAATTATAAATTTTATACTTCGATTTTTACAAGATTGAAAATCCAATTATATGGTTACAGTCATATTGCAAATAATCTAAAGAAAACAAAGAAAATTGATTAAAATTAAAGAAAAGAGACCTAAAAGTAACGTTAGCAAAGAAAACTAATTACAAGATTATAAAATTGTAGAAGTAATAGTAACAAGTACTAATATATTTTTAATAATATAAACAAATTTTTAAAGGATTCGTTTCTATAAGTTTTGGCTTCTTCGTTGCAAAATCATTTATATCTTTCGAAACAGAATTATTAAGAAGAAATCAATATAAGTCACTTAATAATTACAGGCAAAGTATTTTACAAATTACAATATTTTTTTCATTTTTAAAAATAACGTATATTGTTACAAATGTTTTTTAAGAAAATGTACGAAACAAAATTAGTAGAAATGTAGATGCTACTTATGGTAATGTACTATTGTATGTTAAAATAAAAATATAAAAAGTTTCATGCACTCCTGTTTTTAGGATAATTAAGATTTCCAATTTTTTGTGTTTATGGTTTTAAACATTTTAGAACTTCAATTATTTAATATTTTCGTAAATAAGTTTATTTTTAGAATAGTGAGACATAATTAAAATAAGATAATTATTTAAATAACAGGAGTTGCCATTTCTCCGTTCCTTATTTAACCGTCCTCCCCACTCCTTATCGATCCAGCTGGAACAGAATTGGAACAGGTCTGGAACGAATTGCCAACCGTTCCTCCCCACTCCTTATCGATCCAGCTGGAACGGAATTGGAACTAGTGATGGGGCCATATGGCCGGAGCTGTGATTCTGTCGCTGTGACTGGGCCTGAGCTGGTGATCACAGTGACAGGCGCACCGAAATCACAGCGACGGTCACTGTTGGCGCTGTGAAATCACTGTAAGCCGGAGCTGTGCTCCAATAGTGACGATCAATGTTGGCGCTGTGAAATCACAGCTCTGACCACTCAGACTTTTTCGTTCTAGCAATCTGGGCATTGTTGACTTCATTAATTTAATAAATGAATTAAAGAAATAATCATGAAATAATTATTTCTAAAATAATAGTTATTCGTCAAATTTTATTAAAAATACTTTTTGAACTTCAGATGAATTGAGCATTCATTGCCGTATATTTCTGAATGAGTTATGTCTGAAATAATTAACAGGAAGTTTTTCATTTAACTGTTGAAATATAAATAAAAAATTTAATTAAAAATTAAATAAATTCAAATATTCTCTGCAGGGCTGTACACAGAAACCAAAGGATCCCAGAGATATCTTCCTCCATCAAATATAAAATTTATCACAGGAAAAAAAAATTATTTAAATATAAGTTTAAACGGGGGCGGGGTGGCCGAATGGGCTGAGGCGTGTGCAAATCACCGCGAGTTGCCTGGCAACCGGATTACAGATTTGAGAAGATTTAAAAAGTACGAGTTCGCGTCTCGGTGCCGGAGAGAATTTTAAATTCCCCGCCCTAACCCCTCGGCCCGGAAAAATCCCGTATGGCCTAAAAGGCGAGGTAGGGAAGAACAAAAAAAAAATAATAATAAGTTTAAACATATAAACCATAATTTCACAGTGACGCTTTCGCCAAGGAGCCATTGTATATTTGACACCGGAAAAAAATTAATGATTTGTCACAGTGATTTTCCCGGAGCTGTCACTGTCGGAGCTGTGACAGAAAATCTCTGTCACACCACAACAATAGCTGGAACAGAATTGGAACGGGTCTAGAACGATTTGCCAACTGTTCCTCCGTTCCTTATCGAACCGGCGGTATCGTTAATTCTCAGTCGTTGGAACAGTTCAGTTCCGTTCCACAGTGAGATTAAGTTCCCGTTCCCGATCCAGTTCCATTGACCCATCCCTATATATAACACACATAATATTACAACCTATTTCATTTTTTAACTAGAAACAACCAACAATTCAAAAGATTAAGTACTTTGACGATATCAAATTCTTAGTGCAGAAAATTGATATTTATTTTTTTTCTGTTTAGCCCTTCCTCGCATTTCAGGCTATAGGGCCTAAAACCTTTCAGAGTCAATCGTGTTGCAGTTTGTGAATCTGTGTGGTTGTTGTGTGAGTAGTAGACCGTGTAGAAAAAAAAAAAAACCTTTCAGAGTTTTAAGCCCTCCGGCATCAAGGACGCCAGAATTATTTTATCATGCAAATTTCTGTTTATTAGCCCGCTTGGCCACCCAGAAAATGGATACATATTTTTATAAAATAAGATAATATCCATTAGATCATTTACCAAAATATCTGACTTTTAGTATTTATTTTTTTTTAAATAACCATAAGCTAAAACCAAAAATAAAAATGATTTCATAACAACTTGTCAGGTATTATTAATTTTATCTTAAGATCTCTTTTTCTCTCATATCTCTTTCCCCTAACTTTTACAAACTTAACCTAGCAGCTTTAAAACCCAAGATTTGTTATGATTTACATTCAAGCAAAGTAAATAAAGATTACTAATTATTCATCTCGGTGGTCGGTTGCTTTTCTTTTACTTATTTTGACATAAAAATCAAACTCCTGTTTTAAAAATAATTTATGGAGAACTGTTGGTGGAGATTAAAGATACATCACTATGGAATCTTTAGTGAAATTTAGCAAACATAAATAAATTCAATGAAAAAAAAATATCACCAGTTTTGTTAAGAAAATGCCTTAAATTTATTTAAACTTTAATATTTGAAATTAGGTAATTTCTGGAGTATCAGCAAAATTATTTTTGAAGTTTTTTTGAGTAATATGGCGCTTAGCGAAAATGTAGTCCCATTTAAATATAAAGACGAGATAGTGAATCATATTCCAAAAGTTTTCATTGAATCAGAGGTACTAATATTGAATTGTGGATATACAATTGCAATTATCCAATATAAATAAACATTTGTTTTTTTTTTTTTAAGGATGGTTCAGAAGACTACTCGTGGTTTCTGAATGCACCAAGTTTTTCGACATTCAGAGTCAATGTCGAGAAATACAAAGTTCAAGATTTAGTCAATGTTATTGAAAAACAACTGCTAGAAGTAGTATTATTTTTACTTACTATAACTACAACAGTGTGATATCAGTAAATGGAATCTTCCTTACTTTTCAGGAAGCTGAAACAAAAAATAAATGTCCCCCTAAAGTTTTTATTCACAAAATTATAAATGACTGTATTGTGGTAAGTAGATGGAATCACAATGGATTAGAAAAATTGTGGGAATACGATGTTATTGTCGATGTAGCTTGTGCTAATGCTGTGTTAAGAGGTGCAGATATTTTCGCACCTGGGATATTGTCAATGTCTTCAAGTAAATTCATGCTTACCAAATTAAGCACATTTTACATTTAGGATATATTGTTAAGTCTGTGTTTTTTAGATGCTATGATAGGAGATAAAGTAAATGTTTATGCTGATATTGAAAAAAATTGTAGACGTGGTTACAATAAAAAATTTACTGGTAAATCCTTGTTAATTAGCACTGGAAAAGTTAAAATCACTAGAGATCAACTGTTTAAAAACAATGCAACTGTGAGGTAAATAATTTAGTTTCTTGGTATTGAAATTAATCATTTGGACAGTTATTTATTTTATACTTTTTGCACCTCCTGAAATTCATGCCTAGAGGTGTAGGCGTAGAAGTTGATTGGAATTTATCTGGTATCCCCAAAATAAAATTGCCTGATGATGCAGGATTACTTCAAAACTTTCCATCTATCGTTTGTGGTCATATGTTTAAAAACATTACTGGAAATGTTCTTGACATGTGTGCAGCTCCAGGAAATAAAACCACACACATAGCCTCAATTTTAGGAGATAAGGTAATAAATGATCAGATTTAGTAAAATGTGTTACTTGATCATTTTATTTGAATAATTATAATTTTTGGTAAAACTTGGAAATTATTTTTCTTATTAAAACCTCTACACTGATCCAGCAGTTCTTTGAAGTGGTAAATGCCAGTTTCTCAGTTTCTGTCAGGAATATAATTGTAAAATATTCATACAACTTCTCTACATCAAGGCAGTTAAGTTACCGTTGGCTATTCCTTAATAATTAGTTCTTTGGAACTAGAAATTATCTTCAAGCTGTATGATTTTAGTCATCAATCATTGTTAATGTTTCAGAGATATATCAACTAATAGTCTATCATACTGGTGAATGGTCTAAGAAAATAAATAATATTTCTTTATATAAGATTATTATTAAAAAAAAATAATCAAAGAATCCATTTAAGTAGTAAGTAGAAAATGTTAATTTAAAAATAAAATAAATTATTAATCTAGGAAGAGGGTGGCTCAGTGAGTAAGGCACTGTGGTCCCATTTTCTCTGCCTCAGGTTTGGGTCTAACTTATGGAAGTTCAAAAAATAAATCAAAATTACAATTAAACTAATAAAAACCGTTTAAAATGTTCAATTTGCTATTTAATTAATTTGTCTCTAGTTTTTAGTCATCAGTCTTTTTACCAATACATTTTAATACTTTAATAAATTTTTATTGATTCATTAATCATTGATTTTCTTCCATTCTACCTTTATTTTTTTTATTTATTTTTTTTTTTGTTGAAGCAATTTATCTATTTTTCCCCCTAGTTCTTAATACATTTTTTTTTAAAAGAAAAATATCCAAAAAAGTATCAATTTATTAATGTAAATAAATTGATGCCTCTTTTTTTCTGTGATGAGGAAGATATAAATATATATAAATAAAGCTACCACAATTCTAAGACTTCAATTTAATGCTAACCTTTTTTTTTTTTAAAATAAATACATTGAAGAAAAAAAAACATCAAAATTGGACGGATTAGCAGAGATTTATTATTTTCAACACTTTTTTTCCTATCATATTCTATCTACACGTACCCCATTTGAAACCAGTCCACTTTGTCTAGTTTTTATACACTATAAATTCTACTACTCCAGGCACAATCCAAATGTTCCTTTTTTTTTTTATTATTATTATTGTTAAATTTTCTACTAAGCTAAACAAACCAATAGTTTTTTATTTATAACTATAAGATTAGGTAATAATTTGCAACCTTTTTGAAATATATCATCGAGTATTCTGAGTGTAATTAACCTTTAAACTTGTCAAATATTGTTATATATTTTTTTCTCTAAATAATTATATTAAACATACATTATAGGGAGAGGTCACTGCACTTGATAAAACGAAAGAAAGAGTGGCAAAAATTGGAAGACTTTGTGAAAGTTTGGGTGTTACAAATGTGAAGTACTATTTATATGATGCAACAAAATGTATTTCCGAAAACGCCAATCATATAGGTCCACCTTTCATGACAGAATCATTTCAAGCTGTCCTCTTGGACCCACCATGTTCTGCGCTTGGACAGCGTCCCTCTCTTATGAATAACATTTCTCCTTCTCAACTCAAGTCTTATGTGTTTTTACAACGCCAACTATTACGAAGTGCAAGTATATAAATTCTATGTATATTTGTCAAATAGATTAAGGATTATTAATAATGATTATACTCTTATATTTTTTTTTAAATTTGTATTACATAATTTAAATATTTGACAGTTAAAGCTTTGAGCAAAGGAGGATTACTGGTATACAGTACATGCACAATCACTTTAGAAGAAAATGAAGAGATGGTATCATGGGCGCTTAAGCAATTCCCAGAAATCTCTTTGAAGAGTGTTGAACCTTCTTTAGGATATCCTGGCTTGCAAAACGTAAGACATTACTTTTTTTTTCTGTAGATATAATTTTTATTCATTAGAAAGAATTTAATTATGGAACAGTATTTTCTCATCCTAATAAGGATTAGTTAGTCGTTACTTGGATAAAAATATTATGATCCAGTAAAACAAAATTTAATTTTGTTTAGCATTGCAACCTCAGCTCTGATACTTAAGGACTCTATACTGGAGTGATTTACTTGTTTATCATTTACTTTTAAGTAATAATAATTTGTTAAATTTAATATGAGGATAAATCTATAATTATCAGCAATTTAGTTATAAATTGTATTGCAATACAAATAGAAAACTTACATTAACATAATTTTTCAACTTAGTTCCCTTACTTTTGAACACACTTGTACAACCTCTCTGATGTCTTAAGAAAAGAAGATTTTCGGTGCTACAAATACACCACTTCTTTTAATTCTTCGTGAGAGGTAAATCGAAGGCCCCTTAATGCCTCTTTGAATCAACCAAACAAGTGGTAGTCAGAAGGTGCAAGGTCAGGACTGTATGAAGGTTGATCCATTACTTTACACTTGAGCTCCCACAGCGTTTCAGTTAGTGTTTTAACTGTCAGCAGCACTATGTGGACAGGCATTGTCTTACAACAACACAACATCTTTTGACAGTAGTCCTTGAATTGAAGATAAATCTTCCGACCACAAAAATCGAATCACTGAACTTTGATCTTTGGTGCAAATAGATATCAGGGCTATCATAATTAATGGCAAAGCAGCGATAATTAAACTAACCAAGAAATATTAAACATGCACAATTATAATCACAAAGAAACCACCAGCGCAGGATGCTGTGTTGACAAATGAAACACAAATACAACTGCAATGCGGATAATTATTAACTTACCCTCATATTATAGTAGTTTTGGATGTCAATTTTATTTTAAAATCCATTTTATTAGCTTTTATAAATAAATGTTTATGAAGTAGAGCAGAGAAAGGTTTGAAACTATCATGTTTGGCATCCGTACAGCCCAGGCTATGGTGGACTCAAGGTGTACCTCTCTCTCTCTCCCAGTCCGCACCATAGCTCTCAGACGCATAGTTATATCTAGTTTTGAGCTTAATTTGTACATTTTTTTCGTTGCTTTTGTTTTCATGTCAATACCCAATTAATATGAAGAAAAATTCATATTCAAAAGTTCTTTGGCTCAAAACCAAGAAAAGGATCATAAAAGAATCTATTTTCTCACCATAACAATGAAAGAGCAAGCAGAATTTGCTAGGGTTGATGCTTTTGAATAAAAGACAAAATGTTTTTTGTTTTTTTTTAATAATAACTATAATTTTTGTTTTAAACAATGAAAGAACAAATTACAATCTTATGATTCTGAATCATTTCAATTTTGATATATACATATTATTTTTTCTTGTTGCAGAGTTCACTGAGTGAAAAGGAAAGAGAGTTGGTATCCAGATTTGGCCTCCCTAGGGGAAGCTCTGTTGATGAAGACACAATAGGATTCTTTATAGCGTGTTTTAATAAAAATATATAATGAATAAATTTGTATGTTTTTATTCCTAGTATAGAATTATCCTTTTTAAAATCATTTCTTCTTTGTCGATTTGACTTGAGATGCAGGACATATTGCTTTGTTCCGACAATTTGAACAATCAGGCTTTACAGGCTTACAAATTGTCTGCCCGAACCCTACCAAGAGATGATTCACTTCCTTCCATAGGTCCTTCGGTAACCAGCTTTCTAGTGCTATTCTAGTAGCTTCGGGAGTTTTAGTAAGTTTCTGTACCCAACCAAGGCGATTACTTATTCTATGAACATGAGTGTCGACACCTTAAAAATAAACAAATTTCAATTCATAAATTAATGAATGAAATAACATTGCAACTCATGAACCAAGTGGTCAAAAACCTATAATCAAAGTCAATAAAACATAATTTGGTACTCTTTGTCTAGTTGGCCGGCACTGACTGCTATCTGCCAATGTTTATAACCTGAACGCTGATAATTCCCATAACGCATTGTAATGTCAGCGTTACATGGCATTTTAATAGTGGCGCGAAAGTGGTAACAGCACGAACTAAGGAGAGGAAGTGTGTGTGGATGGTGGGGGAAGCAAGCCTCATGTAACTCAGAATGTGACGAGCTGCCAAGAGAGAAGGTGACGAGCCATCAAGTAGAAAACGTGACCAGCCAGCAACTCGAGAAGATGAAAAAGGAGTACTAGCCGGTTCGAGTGTTGATAGAGGCCACTAGTGGAGATTATTTTGTGTTAGAAGAAAGAACATAGCAGAAATTAATTAAGTGGTACCGAAAATGGAACATTCGTAAGTAAGAAGAGTTTATTTCACTGACAGGCGTAAACATTTGGGTGAGTGCTAACAATGCCATTTATGTTGACAGAGTGATAGAGCCACAAAGTTTAGACCGGGACAATCAATGTTTTTGAAAACAATTATAAATTTTATATGTATAATTAGTGTAGTTAGTAATTAGTAAATTAGTGTAGATTATAGTTATTTAATGTTGAATGAGTGTTCAGTTGTCAGAACCCAACCTGAAAATTTATGTTATATATTAAAATAAATAGTATATTGAAAAAGAAATTTGTTTGATTTTGTAGGGAAAGAACGTTACAGCATTGATAAGCCTTCTCCTACTTCATATCTTCGTATTATTGTATTAAATTCGTATTATTGAAAGTGTAAACAGATACAAAAACAAATGTAATAACAAAAAAAATACTTTTATTTTACGACACATATATTAATGAAATAATAGAAAAACACTTTAAGAAGAGATGTACATATAAAACATCAAAATGAAATAATAAAAAAACACTTGAAGAACATATGTAGATATAAAAGATGAAAATGAAATAATACAAAAACATTTAAAGAACATATTTACATAGAGAAGAAAAAATATCAACACTATAAACAACATATGTACAATTTATTTTGGAAGGAAAAATTGTTTTATGGTATTTAAAATAGTGAGGAATGGGTCATTTTCTCTGTGAACCCGTAGCCACAAAAATTCGTACAAATATGAATCTTCTATGTACTTTATTTCTCCACTTCGCTGAGCCCCATAATCGTTCTATGTGTTGAGTATGAACCCCAGTTGATGGACCGACAAAATTATACCAGTGATTCACTTGTTGTATCCCAACATTTTGATAATATTGAATTGTCTGTTCTTCTGAAGACGGAAAATCCCATATTCTAAGAAGATCCATAATATGACGAAAATAAACGGGAAAAAGAATGAAAAATAAACACAAACGGGCCAAAAGTAAAGAATTTAATAAGTGAACGTAATAAGGGAATAACTGAAAACTAAACAATGCAATAACTCAAAGATTTGGCGAGATAAGAAGAGGGAGGTTATGTGACGTGACGTTAGATAAGATAGATAAGAAGTGAGGTTTCGTGGCGGCCCGCTAGACAAAAAGTACCCATAATTTTTACTCTGTTACCACCCTCCAGTGTTCTTTCTAAAACACATTCTTCAGTCTTTCTAAAACATAAACACGATTGAATAAGTTGGAGAAAGAGATCAGAGGACCCAGACTTGAAGCAGTTTGGGTCAATTTTGTATTTTGTGGCAGTCTCACAAATTAAAACTTGATACTTCCACTCTCGTTAGGGCTGGGCAGCAATCACGATCTTACGCACATTAGCTTATAACTTAATTATTCCACCACACAAAAAATCCAATGTATTAATACTAAGGGTTTTTATAGAAATACAGAAGAGCCTGTCAAGGAAGAAAGATTGAAATATAAGAAAGTAAGTAGAAAGAATGTGCGGTTTTATTTTCCACAATAGACCATTGTGCCGGGCACTATCAAATGCTTTATCAATGTCTAAGAATATCGCTGAGCAGTATTCTTTTTTTCTTGAAGGCGACTGAGATAGCGTCCACTATACGATGGCATTGTTATACAGTGGTGGAGTGGTACGAACAAAAGCCAAATTAATGGTTCGGTATAACTTCCTGGCTTTCAAGGATTGGCTTTATAATTGGATTTTTTCTGTTATAGGTAGGAGTCCAATAAGACGATAAGATGAAGAATTACTGGTGGGTTTAGAACTTTTTGAATTCATTTTTATAGTAGAAAGTTTTCAAAGGAGAGGGAAAGTTATGCATGAGATTGCTTTATAGATGTGAGTAAGAAAGAGAACGGCTTTTCAGGGTAGGTGGCAAGGGATGAAGGGAGAGATCAGATCACAGCCAGGAGCTTTTTTGTTTGGTAGTCTGTTGATTTCCTTGTGAATTTCTTTTGAATGAAATGCCAGAGGATGTAGTGATAAGGGCAGTGGTGTTGTCAAGTCGTCTTCAATCCCGATAGTTAGTGTATTGTCATTAATGTTATTTGTTTCTAATACCTGAGTAAGATGTTTTACGAATTTGGTGTCTTTTTCTTTGCCTGTTATAGCCCAGGTATTGTCTGTACGTCGGAGACGATATTGAACATCTATTGTCTTTAGTATACGTCTTGTTGCTTTCCATATTGTTTTAATATTTTATAAGCTAAATCAGTTCTCAAATTCTTTATGCAGTAATTTAGTTTTGATGAAGAGGAGTAGGAGTGCTAATTATTTAGGTTTTTTAGTTTACTTTAAAGAAGGTGAATATTTCTTAAAAGCATATCTACTTAAGTGTTATTATTTAACAAACTAAATATTTCATCTCAAATATTATTTTAATTGCAATTACAAAATAAATTTGGAAGTTTATTGTTCAGTACATAACAGTTGGTAAACAATGTAATTTCAATTAAGGAATCAGAATATGCAAATATATTGGACTGGATGGCAAATATGACAAGAGAAAAAATATATATATATATATAAAAATTTTGATTTTTTTCAAATTATTTAGGGTGAAAACTTTTAAAATATTATATACAAACCTACAAATAAATATTTTTCAAGACACGGTTTTGTAATTAACAAAATAATAATAATCTTATGTAATTTAACTCTTACCAATGCCAGTTATTACACCCCAGCCACAATTCATAGCAAGGTGTGCCATCTTAGGTCCTACACCTGTCAACGAACATAATTCTTCAACAGTTTTAGGAATGTCACAATTATATTTCTGTTTTAAGATCTTAGTAGTTTCCTTAATATATTTCACTTTTGTCTAAAATAATAAATATCAAAATTACCTACATTATATATTAAACATAGGAGTTTATACCTAACTTATATATTAAAATAAAAATAAATAAATACTTTTGATGTACATTATTACAAAAACAAGCAATATTACCTTTTAAGGAAATATAAATAAATAGAAAATTTGTTTTTTAAAAAATGATGTGTGGATATTTTCAAGAATAGCAGAATTCAAATATAACTTAAATTGCTACTATCGTCGTAAACCAACGACTTCCTGTCCTACAGTTTCCTTTAACAATACTCCACTTATCCCTGTTGAGCAAATCCGATACCTAGGACTCCACCTGGACAAACGACTAACTTGGAATCCTCATACTAGACTGAAACGACAAGAAACCGCTCGACGTTTCCGATTACTTCAGCACTTACTAGACAAACGCTCTAAACTTCCCATTAATTACAAAAGACTTATATACTTGACTATAATAAGATCTATTTGGACTTACGGAGTTGAGCTATGGGGCTCCACTAAACCATCAAATTCCTCTCGCATCCAATCCTAACAATCCAAAATCCTTCATAAAATCCTCAATGCTCCTTACTTTGTCACTAATAAAATTATCCATAAAGATCTTAATGTTCCTTATGTTTCAGATCTGGCCCAATCCAGATACCTATCCTTCCATAATAAACTTCAGAATCATCCCAACCCTCTCGTTTCTAACCTTGCTTCCTCTTCAATTCCTGATAACCCTCTGAGGCGTCTGAAAAGAAGATGGCCCCGTGATCTCCTAATGTAGTCATATCATTAGAGTGCTACCATTGGGTAGTTACTCAGCAAGTGTATTCATGTCATTATATCAATTATGTCCAATTTACTTGATGTATTTATGTAATACAGTTGTAAATGTCATAAAGAAATAAAAAAAAAAAAAAAAAAAATTGCTACTATTTCACAAGTTTTATGTCCGGTTGACAGGAGTTTCAAGATCACACCAATCACATCGTACATGCAATCCTAAAAATAGCAAAGATCACCTGAAAGTAATCAGAGGTAACCATGTCATTCCATCCTTTCTTAAAAATAAATTAAGGAAGGTATTTGATGATGAATTGAAAGATTCCATTTCAAATAACAACTGCTTGGTAAGAACCTTAACTCAACTCACAAGGATCTATTCTAGGTTTGTCAATCTCTTGAGATTGGGCTGCCTTTGAAGAGATGGAACATGGTTACTGAAAAAATCCCATCAACAAATTAAATTATATGATCCTGACCCACCTGTCAATTAGTGACAACACTTGCGATCTAATGCCTTTATTCAAAACATTCCAGGACAAATTCAAATTAACAATGTTTCATAGAATACATACCTTCCAAAATCCAACAGGGTATATTAACTTTCCTAAAGTATCATCATCTGTATTTAGAATATTATCAACAGTTAAGCCATGATCTCTCAACCGCTCCATAGCTGCAAAATTTACTTCATCTTTAGTCTGACTGGACAACATTAAAGAGATAAGCACCTGGTACCTGCGGACCTTTCAAGATAAAAAGATTTTATACACTTGTCAAGAATTGAGACACTTACAAATGTTAGACATACCTCGGGTGTTAAATTAAGATCATTATTAACATCACAACCCATTGTGTCGACTGGAGCAACCATATCTTTCCGCATTTCTCTTATGTTGTCCAACACAATATTCCAATTCTCAGGCTCCCACTTATCCTTTTTAATCATGTCTTGATCATTGCTATAAGAAACCTTGACAGATTTTCTTTTTCTTCCACTTTGAGCCTTCTTTGCGTTTTTCAAAATAATAGTTTCATCTGTGTTTTCAGACTTAACATCAGAAACATCATTTTCTTTTTTAATCTTAGAATCAACATCATCTACATTAGTCACTGATGAATTACCAGATGTAGATGTTAAGTTTTCGAGTTTCTTCTTTTGGTTACGAAATGAGTACTTTTGAGTTAATGAAACAGATTTACCTTCCATAATAATCTTTGAAGTAAATAACAATAATCGTGAACATAACATAAAATAAAACTTCACTGTTACAAATAATTCGATTCTTCCCGCCAAAGTAATTGAATTTCAAAACCCTCGTTGACAAAGAGAAACATCTCATCAATGTATTTCCTTTAATAAATGATAATGAAGTAAGTCAACATTAACAAACCGAGAATCCTGGAAAATAAAAACCAAAATTAATAATTAAATTTGAAATATTTACACATTTGTACCATGCAGTTCATAATTTTTACTCAACTTTGTTAATATTCTCTTCAGAGATATGAAATGTCCTCTATTCATAAAATAGGTGGTAATATTAGTCCATCTCAAGTCCACGATTCTTCTAGTTCCACCCAGCAACAATTAATTTTTAAAAATATATTTTCTATTAAATAATTATAGTAAAATAAATTATTTTTAAACATCTTAATCGGGCATTTCTTCGATCTCTGCCAGCGGTGGGCTGGCGATGTGGTTGTTAAATTATGGATTAGCTCCTAAACTCGTTCATCGTTTTTCTCAGTTTAGAAACGAATTCAATGCCTATCTAGAGGTGGCCAAATGCTACTCCGAGTACTGAGTATCAAGTATTTTACTCAAATACTAATCTTTTTTTGAGAACCAAAGAATTTAAATACTGCTTCAGTTGATGTCAAACGATTAATTGAAGTAGTGATTGAATTCCGAATAGTAATTCAATTTGAGTAAAATACTTAGTACTCGACACTCATAGCATTTGCCCATCTCTGTGTATATCTACAGCATTATCTATGCCAGAACGCAATGTGCATGTCTAATCTAGGCTCAAATGCAATCTGCTAAGGATAATAATCCGTTTCTACGGTATTTCGAAAAATTAGCGCAATTAATTAACAAAAATTAGAGCAATCAGCTCAGTTCCAAGTGGAAAGATACAAAGGACTTCATAAAAAAAAATTAATTAATACAACTATTTACGAGTATACAGTAAAAGAAAAAAAAACAAAACATCTTAATGGAAACGGTATCCCCATACTTGGTATTAGCGTTACCACTGGTTAGCAACAAATCCTCTTATCTTGATTGTTTGTACTCCTGTATCTTGAAAAGGTGCACAAATATTTCATGCTAAATGTAATTTTATTAGTAAAATTAGATCAGAATTTTTCCTTTTAGCTAAAATCATATACTTTAAAACCTTTTTAAATCATCGAGTCACGCAGAAAAATACCGAAACAACTACAACAAATCTTGTTTTAAAGCATATATATTTTGGATAACGTTTTAAATCCAATAAGTAAATTTTTTAGGGGATGAAATACAATTATCACTATTAAATCTCAGGAAAATAGATTTAAACTAGATTGAAGTTTGAAACTAAGTAACATTTGACTGCAATATATACATTTAAGAAGATTGATCGGAGTGTTCAGTAAAAAAGTAAATATAAAAAATGATATTTATTTTTATTTTTGCCCCCGTTTCGATCCAAAGTTCATGGCTTCATCAGGGCTAAGAAAAAAAAAACAATAGATATGAGAAACTATTAACATAAAAAATAAATTAATATGTAGTTAAAAAGGTATAGTGTAAAAATATGTAAGCAGAATAAACTTAAAGTAAAATAAAGTAGGGAGAATAAACTTAGGAAGTAGAAAATAATAATAACAAAGTTAAAAATAGAAATTAGCGGAAGCAAACTTAGGATAAATAACATAACGGTAGCAAAGTTAGGAACTTATGAATAAAATAATAACAGTAACAGAGAGGAACTGTGAAATAAATAATAACGGCAACAAAGCTAGGGACTAATGAAATAAACATTATGAATTAAATAACGTGACATAGAAATAAAAATGAATCAACAACCAAATATAATGGAATATATAAGATGAAAACATAAGGGTTAGACATAGAATGAATGTTGTGACGTAACTGCTAAAATATGACAAATTAGTATGCTGAAAAGAATTAAGATTGGCATATAACAATAGAATTTCATAATAAATAGAAATAGAATTATATAGAAATAGAATCTCACTTCTTTTCTGCATACTAAGAAATACTTTTACCAACTACGTCATCCCATTCCATGATGTGCGACTTGACACCAGCACCCTTGAAGAAAGTATTGAAAGATTTTAGAAAAACATCCTCCGCAAGATAACCAGAACGATCTTGGATCAGAGTACTAACCCGTGGAGACGAAAGACCAATAAAGAGCTGCTTCCAGAAACTGGTCAATCAATATTCCATGATATGAAGTCACGGAGGTTAATATGGGCGGGGTACGTAGCTCGTAGCAATCCTTCTGGAAGCCTCTACGTAACAATGAGTGCCCCCATAAAAGGCAAAAGACCACATGGATGGCCAAAAGCTAGGTGGGTAGATAGAATTCACAAATATGAAACCGAACTGCGTACAGATAACTGGAAAGAAATAGCTCAAGACAGGTAAAGATGGAGCAGACTTGTTAAGGCGGCAAAAGATCTATATGGTCTTAAATGCCAACAGAAAAAAAAATGTAACCTTATTCATTATATTTCTTTCTTTCATCTTTGTTGCCGTTATTATTTATTTCACAGTTCCTCTCTGCTACTGTTATTATTTTATTCATAAGTTCATAACTTTGTTACCGTTATGTTATATATCCTAACTTTGCTTCCGCTACTTTCTATTCCTAGCTTTGTTATCGTTATTTTATATTTCCTTTAAGTTTATTGTCTGTTTTTTCTTAGCTCTGATAAAAGCCTGAACTTAGGGCGAAAACGTCGGCAAAAATAAATATAATTTATTAATTTTTACTTTTTTTTTGACTGGATATCCCAGCCAATCTTCTCTTCAATTATTCACTACAGTCAACCATCAATCCATAATTATAATTTATATATTTTTACTTAGGCAGCGCGGAGTAGCTCAGCGGGTGAGCACTGACTTCCAGAGCTCAAGGTCCTAGGTTTGAATCAGGCTGATGACTAGTGATTTTTCATCAGCCGTGGATCGACCCTGGGATCGGGAGATCCTACTGAGGGCACACCCAGCCTCTATAAAGTGGGTAATCTTAATTAAATAATTTATTAAGGGGAAAAACCTTGCAATTGAACGTGATTTCGTTTTTTTTTTTTTGCTCTGTACTACAAGAATGCTTTTTAGATCTACCTTAATTAACACCGACATTAGCGCTAGGTCAAAATTTTTTTGAATTGCTTTTGCTACCGGCAACAGATGGAAAACATAAAAACAAGAAACAAAAACATTAGCAAAAGGAAATAGCTATTTAAATATTTTTATTTCCAATAGTTTGTGAAATTTCTAAGCATACTTTTCAATTTTCGTGAAAATAAAAAAATTCTTATACTATTTTTTAAATTATAAAAGTAGAAGCAGTCTCTCCTTGTCAGAACTACGCATTTCTCCTCAAAATACATACTGTTCTTATGGAAAAATGGCAGCTTAAGAGCAAATAAAATACCAGTGATTGATAGGTTACTAATCTTTGATACCCTCAGAACTGAATTTGTCTAATAGCTTCCTAGAATACGTTGGAGCATCCTATGCTATGAGATCCTATAGAGAACTGTGTTTCTTAACTCATAACTTAAAGATGTTCTAGATGGTTATTAGACAAATTTAGTCCCGGAGGTGTCAAATAGTAAACAGCCAATTACTTGTATTGTTTCCTTATGTCACTCAAAATTATATAATTAACTACTTTCTCCATATGCGAAAAAGAGCTAACAAAAAAACTGCATGAACTTATGAATTGTTGTCTATGCTGTACTATATCATCTGTAATATATAAACTATTTTTAATGAATATGATATAATTTAATTTAATTGAAAGAACGACTATACTTATGTATTAAAAAAACTCCCTATAATCACAATATTACGTTGCTAAGAAGTTATTTTTAAAAATGGTTGATTTGAAGATAATTCGAAATTCACATTATATAAATTTATTTTCGTATCTTGACAATGTCATCCTATACCTGTTACAACTTTAAACATGATAAATTACATAGAAATAGGGAAATGTTTTTATGTAAGTTATTTAACAAATTTATACCTCTATGAATCGATTTTAGATCTCGCTGTATTCTACTGGCTTCTCGTGTGAGTCTTTACGTTGTTGCAGGTTTAAGCTGAGTGACTGTTGTCCAATTCATAAGACAAAATGGTAGTTATTTATTGTTATACTTTTCTAAATTATCATGTTTTAATAAAATATTTGTCTTTAAACATAAAAGTGATTGTATTGCATGCTTATTGTCAAGTTCTTATGAGTTTATTGAGTTAGGTTACACCATGTGGCATGGAACATGGTTTCTATTAATCTGTGTCTATATTATTTATTTATCCTTTTAGTCTCTTGTTTTGCCTGAGAAGTTTCAACATATTCTTCGTATTATGGGTACGAATATTGATGGTAAACGAAAAGTTATGTTTGCCATGACTGCCATCAAGGGTGTTGGTCGAAGATATGCCAACATAGTTCTGAAAAAGGCTGATGTAGATTTAGACAAGAGGGCAGGAGAGTGCTCAGAGGAAGAGGTTTGTAGTTTTAAGAATTGTTTATACTTGTTGCTATGCTTATAATTTGCACATTATAACTGTTCACTTTTAATTTTTAGGTTGAGAAGATCGTTACCATCATGCAGTATCCTAGACAGTATAAAATCCCTGATTGGTTTCTTAACAGGCAAAAGGATATTGTCGATGGAAAATATACCCAGGCATGTATAATGATCATTTGTTAAATGTTTTACATTAAATGATATATCAATTTGTATATTTAGAAAATAGAGAAGTAATTGGTAATTCTCCTGAAGGGTCATTCTTGAAGTTAACAAATTGCAATTATTAATATCATTGCATTATTATTTATAAATAAGAAGTTTTACAAAACCTAAAACATGCACTTGTGACTTCACAACTAATCAAATGGCCTTACGAGTTCTATTTAGGCTATTTGGATAAGTTTTGAAGATTTTTTTTTAAAATTTCTTTATTGAATATTACAACAATCTGTCTCTTGGACATTGGTTATAGTGAGGTAGGATGACATTCACACTATATGTTCCAAAAAAAAAATCAAATAAATAGAAACAAAATAATAATAAAAAGTGGAAGATATTAGAGTTCTGAAGTTATATATAGTACTGACCATTACTTAGTTTATTTTTTTAATTAATTAGACTTTGCAATTTTTCCTTTAAACTGACAAATGAATTTAATATAGTTGTTCTAGTAATCTCTATGGTATTGTTAAATTTGATATTTTTTAAAGTTTAATTGATGGAATTTCATTTTCAGTACTAAAGTCACTAGGTATAACAAATTTATCACGTTGATACTTGCTATTGTAGGCAATCCATACGTAGAAGTTTGATATTAGTCTTCATTGTTATTATTTCTTTTTGTATTCCTGGCGACTCGAATGCGATTTTGTGATGTGCTTTCCAGTAATCAGTGTTATATTGCATATTATCTAACCATTATATATTACTCTAATGTTGATATTGGATTATACTATAGAATGTAATCTATGATACTATTAGTCACAAGTTTGTTTGATTACCAAATTTATTTAGTAGGTTGCGATCATCAAATAAATCTTTTCTTTATAAATAATGATCCTTTCCGTCTTGGAATTATAGTTTTATATTACCTATATATAATTCTTTATTTGAATTTGTAGCTCACATCCTCCAATTTGGACAGCAAACTTCGTGAAGACTTGGAGAGGCTGAAGAAAATCAGGGCCCACAGAGGAATGAGGCATTATTGGGGGTAAATAATTATTTTATTAATATTACATTTACTTTTTTTAGTCTTAACGTATTAAAAAATTATGAAATTACTATGATAAATGATTACCAAACGAAAACATTAGTGTAGTGAGATAGGAAAACATTGGTGTTTTTAAGTTATCTTGAGAATAGGTAGACATTTCAGTCTACATATCTCTTACAAAGAGACTTCATTAATAAGTTATATTAAAAATGTTGATAAATGAGGCTTTTAAAATCTTTTTACAAAATTTTATTAGACTTCAACATTTTGTTAATACTTGAAGTTTTTTATCACTTATTTTAAATCGGACAAGATGAACTAAATGCACTGTCCTCAATTTTTGTAATTGTTAAGAAGAAAGTCATTTCACTGCTCAGGTTTGAATTCATTACATTTCATTTTAATATAGACATCTCACAATCTTGTACTTGGCAAATGCAAATGTTTTATTACATGAGTCTGGAGATATTTTTGGCAATGGTAGGGTGAAATTTTTATTTATGCTGGCTACAAATATTTAATTAACAATGCTTGATATCTCCTCAAATGACCTTTCCCTTAATCAGTTTTAACTTATTTTTTACATGAAATATCCAGCTCATAACATTTTAAATTCAACTTTATCAGTTGTTTCATGCGGAAGTAACTACAGGCCCAGCTATTGCTCCTAAATTGCTTGCTTATCAAATGTAGTCGTGCTAATGTTAATTAATAGAGATAAAAATCGGTGCTATTAAAATAGAGAGGTGCAACTCCATAACAAAGAAACTGAGATTTTATTCAAGGTTAATACAAAATCAGTTTTTTAACTTATCTTTTTTTTTTGTTTTTAATTGCATGATGAAGTAAAAATGTCCATTTTAAAATTTGTCTCAACTTCTTTTCCATTCATAAACAGCCCATGCATCAAATGAACTTTTTTGTTGGATATTTTGTCTAGAATCACCTCTCCTTCTTCTAGAGTTTAACCATTAAGGACTGAGAAACCCTTTAGATATATATATGAAGATTACAGAATAGTTCTGTTATAGAAATAATTCTCTATTTTATTTTTTTCTAGTTTGAGAGTCAGGGGTCAACACACCAAAACCACAGGAAGGCGTGGAAGAACTGTTGGTGTGTCCAAGAAGAAGTAATGTTTTTTGGTCTTTTTCTTTTTTAAAAATAAAAAACAAATTTATTAAAGTCAGTTGGTTTTGAATTCTTCACTACTACCCCTTAAATAAAACATGGTCAACTTTAACATTTCCATTATATCGTTGATACCCTGTTAAAGTAACGAATGTACAACTTTAAACAGGCTCACATACGTTACTTTAACATGGTGCCGACAATACGTTTTCTGTGATATTATTATATTACATTTGTTTTATTCTTGTTTATATAAATATAATCTGTACAATGTGTTCCGAGAAGCTGATATTGTGAAAGCAACGAAGTTGTGGCGCTTAAGGTATGCAAGGCATATTGCCAGTATGGCAGATGGAGAAATGCCTAAGACTGCTTACACTGTCAATCCATGGAACAAGGAGAAGAGGTAGACCAAAGCTGAGATGGTCAGATGATGTGGCTGGAGATGCCCATATCATGAGTTAGGAACTGGATGGCGTCGGCACAAGCCTGTAACCAGGTTTTTGTGCCATGAAAAAAAAAAAAAATCATTTGTTGACTATAGCATTCAGTATTAATGCTTTTGCCAGATTTTAATAGATCAGGCCTCATTAATAGCCTCATTTCTCACATCAGAATCACTACATTTAAATTTTTTTCAAAAGTGAGAGCAGGCTCCTTAAATGCTTTGATAAGCATTTGATGTAATTCTGCAGCAATTTTCTTCAAATGATGTTTAAAAATTAATGCTGATTGTTATGTTGTATGGTAAACATACTCTGGATGCAACAGGATCATAATTTATGATTATCCAGAAAAAAATTAAATCAATTTCTTAAAGGCAGCTTTGTATTTATCAAGCTTTTACTTACATTACCTCTGATCATCATGGTATAAATGGGTGGCAGAATTAAAATAACTAGAAAACTTATTTTATTCGTTTGCCTTGAGATCTCTCACTCTGTCAATGCCGAATAATCGGAATCTTAGTCCAGCAAATCTATCACACCAGCAAGTAATAAGCTGTCTCATCCTCCCGGCCACAGTACCTACAAAGAGACAACTCCTTGAGCCGGAGTTTGAACATATGGTAATTCAGTTTACAGTGACCTGTATATGTCGCTGTTATTTTCTTAAGAGAGCTCTTGCTAATTAATTATTTTTTGACAGATTTCTTCCAGAAACAATCTAAAGTGGGTCAGTTTTTTCAAGCACCAGTTCTTTTTAGTTTCAGTACCATACATCTCTCTGATTATGTTTGTTATTAGACACTGACTAATTCCACAGATGGGTTCCGGAGCTATAGGTATCATTTGTGAGCCTAGTCTAGCTAGTTCATATGCCATGTATTCCAGAGTGATCCGGATAAGTAGTGGACCATAGTTTGTAGACCCAGGTCTAGACTAACAACGAGAACTCCAATTTGAACTGTATCGTTAATAAAAAAGTTGGCTGATTTTTAAATTCTATGCCTTCTAAGTAATACAGTGCTGGTCTTAAAGTATCCTGGGCATATGTCTGGGGGCACCAGCTTGGATGAGATAACTTATTTGGAACTAAAAAATCTGGTGCGCGCAACACAACTTTCACTTAACGATCTACTTTGAATAGAAATTATTTTCTGGCAATGCTGGGTTATTATAAAATTTTTTGTAGTGAATTTTAAACGGAGCTAAAGCTTAAACCTTACAGATAACAAGTCATTAAGACCATTATAATTACAAAATGTTTATTTAATATATCGACGACAGGCAATAAAAATCTATTCACTCTATCTGCTTTTATAAACCACAGAATGACTAACTCTGATTTCAACATTTTTCAATAATGTCATTTTAGTGATATTTTTAGTTTAAAAAGTTATCTATGCAGACAATGAGTAAGTTGATTCCGGAGGTGGTGATTGCAGCGTTGAAATATAGAACTGAGACTAAAAGTATAAATTTAGGTACTAATTTCTTATGAAAGATGTTCTTAGGAAAGACACTTTATTCAATATCTGTAGAAAAACGGTTTTTTTAGTCTCAACAATTAAAAAAATATATTTTAAATTTATCCAAATTTTTACCTCTTCAGGGAAAAAAACAAGAGACCATATTTTTCCTACTAATTGTCCGTTTTTAACGATTTTTTTTTTTTTTTTTAGAAAATTCCATAAACTTTTAAAAAACCATAAATATCCCCCAAAAAAGCGTATACTTTTTGAGTTATTCAGAATTTAATTTTAACATCCCTCGTAACTTTTTTTCCAGCTTCTTTCCATTATATAGATAAATTTAAATGGTATCGAGAAAATGACTTTAGCGAAGTTTCATTGAAATCGGTACATTCGTTTAGGCGCTACAGTCTATAGCAACGCAGGTTTTTCTGCATTTTTATTTTTTTTCTCCTTTATTAACTTATCAAATTCTTTCAAAAGTTATATGTAGCATTTTTTCGCAACTCTGAATAATGCGAAATGGTTAACTTCTTAAAATAAACCATATTAAAGGTACTTTAGAGGAAGACATATATGAACATTGGGCATTTAAGCCCTGTAAAGTGACATCAACGGGGATAAGACCTAAATGATATTAGAGGCCACTTAATTATACAACGATACACCGAGTTTGATCAAAATCGTTAGAGTGGTTTTTGAGAAAATTGTAAAAATGTGTTTCAGCGTTCATATGAAGTGGCACTTCCGATTAGCCGATTTTAACGAAAAAGTTGCTGTCACATCCGGCCCATATACAAACCTTAAATACTTAATATCAGTTTCGTACTACTTTTCGTTTATGAGCTATACTGCTAACACACAGAGACCATTTTGCAACATTTGGTTATTTGAACTCAGGGGACCTCAAAACATGTATTTTCGTTGACAACTGAGATTCGAAAATTTTCACGATCGCAATACTTACCCTTACTATATATTACATATATATGTAAGTGAAAGTAAAAATATAGAAACATAATTAACTTTAGCCTATTAATAAAGCAACTGAATTAGACATAGAAAGTGAACTACAGCACAAATATTTCTGAATAGGAGTTCAAGAAATATATATTTTAGTGGGGGATGACATGTCTGGAGTGCCAAATGTCTTCAACAGGCAAAATCCAGAATTTATTGATATTAAATATTAATTTTTTGTTAGTTTCAATAATTGATTTTAATATGGCTGCAATAATAGCCCAAAGATCCTCTTTTCAAAAAGCTTTTTAATCTCTTGCTTGTCAAGAGGGTTGTGAAAAAATATTGCTTCTATTAGTCATTGTATAAAGCAATTTTTGTTGGGCCCTTTTTGCAATTATCTCAGAAGTATGTATGTGGCCTCATTTTCATTATTCATTCTTATCAAAAGTATTGTGTTTATTATTCATGCCTAAAGGCTCAAACATACAGAACTAGAGATAATTAAAATGAGTATTTTTCAGTAAAAAATTCAACTACAATGAAATACCTGTCATTCAAAATGCCAATCTGGATCAGCCATGTATTGGCATACCTAATCCTTTTGGAGCACTAGCAGATCCAGGATTTAATTTTGGGGAGGGGCTTCAGCCCGAAAGATTTTTTTTTCATAAAAATAACGATAATTACTTCGAAAAAAAAGAAAGAAACTAATTACCTATATGAAATGGTGTTAAAGTGATTCCTAAAGCCCTTTTAAATGTAATTACAGGAACAATAGTACTTTGAGAGATAATTTTGAAATGTTTTTTGATAAAACATGGTTATATTTTCCCATTTTGGGGGGGCTTCAGCCCGTAAGCTCCCCCCCCCCCTCCGTAGATCCGCCCGTATTTTGGAGTACAGAGTTAAACAGAGGAGTTAATCTTAAAAACCCAAAATAAAAATAATCTTTCGAATTTTTAATTTTTTTTTTGCGATGCCGTCATCATTTAATTAGTAGAAAAAAGTCCATTGCTGTGAGGCCCTCTCATTGAGTGTTATCAATTTATTACTACTCAGACAAAGTAATAGATATGATACATTACTGGAACAGTTAAAGAAGATCACAAGGCTTGACGAAATACCAGTTATTAGGTAATAGCTAGTATTTCTAGGGGTGGGAGATAAAACGCCAAACGTTTGAAAAGAACAGGTCTTGATCTCGAACGAATGAACTGTTCCTCCAAATAGATAACAGTTTTTTTTTTTTTTTAGTTGACTCGTTTGCCACTGGTCGAATTACTGTTTGATCTGTTTTTCGTTTCGTTTTTTCCAAACCAAACAAAAGCTCTTTCTGTTTTCCGACTAACCTATGAATTCATCATGAAAATAAGCCAACAGTTTTTTTTTTTTTATAAGACATGTTTCAATTGTTATGTTTAGGAATGTAATTTTTAACTTAAAAAACTTTCATTATAGTTACTACATAAATTAACTTAAGCATATTTGTAGGCAAAATTAGTTTATGTTTTAAAATGTATCTATCCATATTAGTGTCTTGCAGACCGAAAATAATCTTTATGATTAAACATATTCACATAAATCAATTTAAGTGGATAAATCAGATTAAATACCATTATTGAAGGGAACAATGGTTGGGGAGAACAGTAAAAAAAAAAAAAAAAAAAAAAAAAAAAAACATTGTTCTCTTCAATTATTCACTGCAGTCAACCATTAATCCACAATTATAAACCCTATTATGTTTTATAAAAATTGAAAAAGGCAAACCGTTGAATACATTTTAAACAGTTAAAAGACTTATAATGACCAAGCAGGGTAATTCCAAACTAAGAACAACACTTGATAAAGAAATACGGCAAAACATTTATAACAAATTTGTTTGAAAAAGGAAAAATTCCTAAGCTCAGCGCTGAGCTCATCGATAGTACCGTATCCATCTTTACGCTGGGCGAAAGGATGTCATCAATAAGCTCATCGTTGAGAGACCTTAGGAAGGTGGATGTCGCTGGCCCGGCACCTATGGCATTTTGAGTTGAAACCTATGCCAATATTTAGTACCTAATTTGTACTAATTTGTACCTCAAAAATTAGAATTTGTACCCCTCAGGAACCGGAGATATAACGCTCGTAAAAGTGCCGGGCCAGGGACATGGTGGCCCGGCACCTATGGAATTTC